TTGTTTGCTCCTAACGGTTGTTACAAATTGCGCCTCTTTATAAGACTCTTTCCCAAACAATGCGCCTCTTCCAAAAGGTTACAAGCGCCTTTCAAATTCCATCAATGTCTATGTAATGCATTGCAGACTCCAACACAACCAATAACGATAACCCATCAATGCATTCCTTTAATAAAATAAAATATATCTTTCTCTAACCTATAATTGTTAAAACCATATGCCTTATTCACTTTTTTCAGATTTGGATACTACTAGGGATGATTGGTTGGTTAAGGTACGAGTTTGTCGGATGTAGAAATTTAAAAATTAGAAGAGAAGAAACGAGATGATAAGTCTGAACATGATACTTATTGACGAAAAGGTAATACTTTTCTCATCAAAACTTAATACCACATGGTTCGACAGTTCATTGCAGATGCACTTACCAACTCATATGTAACAAGGAACTTTGAAACACAGAGTAATCTGGAAAAATCATGTGAATAGGTTTCGTTCTAATATAGCTGAAGGCTCTGTGATCATTATCAGGAACTTTATGGTGTCTGAAAGTATGGGTGAATAGAGACCCGTATAATCTGATGTTAAAATAACTTTTATGTGTATAACTGTCATACAAAAAATGAAGAATGATACTGCTAATATCCCTAAAAATGGATTCAAATTTAGTCAGCCAAACATTTTTCGATCAAGTGTCAATAACAAGACCTATCTATCAGGTATAGTTATTTACATCAATTATCTAACGCATATTCATTGACATATGTACTTAACATTCTCTCTCTTTAACTTGTAGATGTGGTCGGATGCATATGTGGAAAAAATGAGACTTGCACATTCTTATTGATTTGTAAATAACAAACCTGATCTGATTTATTCACTTATATTCAATACACCAGAAACAAAGAAAAACACTAACAGGTTATGTTGTTTGTGCAGCGATGATAGGTCAGCAAAAGCAAAAATAACCATATGGGAAGATTACGGGGAAGAATTTTACCAATACTTATTTCCTCTCGAGTTCGGTCCATATATTGTCATTGTAACAGCTACAACAGTGAAGAAATTCAGAGGTAAATACTATTACAGACCCAATCAGTTAAGTGCAATCTAAACGTAATTAAGTATATGTGACGTTTAATGTTAAATTTTGTAATAGGTGAAATCAATTTTTCCACCACCACAGCAACCAAAACTTATATTAATCTTCCAATGAACAACATCACCTCATTGATAGAAAAGTTTACGAGTAAACCAATTCACATTCAAACAATTGAGAGTACTAAGGGAAGCAACATACCTATTGCGGAGGCAATGTTCCAAAACAGAATGACTATTACAGAGTTATTGAATTAGGACTGGAGTAATGACATAGAGATTAGAACCTTAAGATCCATTCAAACATTATGAATAATAGAATACATCAACAGGATCATACTCCATATTAATTGGCTTTTTTATTGGTTACTAGTAGTGTATCGTTACATTGAGGGTTCAGATCAGTCAAATAAATACCTACTTTGATTGGCACTACATATCATGCAACTTCTGCAATAAAAAAATTGAACCTAAACATGGCATCTACACCTTCCATAAGTGCGGAAAAGAATGTGACTTTCCGTTGGTTAGGTATGGCAACAGTTAAACATGTACCACATGTTCCTTTTAACCACACACTAATTTTTTATGGGACTCACATGTATAAAATACACATTAAGGTTAAAGACAACCGAGGGAACACAACTTTGGTTCTTTTTAATGGGTTTGCTGAAAAGTTGCTCGATAATTTGGCGGCAAAGTTGATTAATCCAATGTACAAAGGTGATACACATGTTCCATTGCAAATTGAGATCCTTTGCGGCAAGGAGTTTTTATTCAAGCTTAAATTGAGCAACTTCAATTTGAAAGAGGGACTGAAAAATTATACGGTGACAAGAAGTGTTTACACTGCATTAAGAAAGAAAAAAAGTAAATTTGTAACTCACAGTTTAATATATATATATATATCATTTATACATTCATCACTTATTTCTAGAGTTGATCCTGCAACTTACATCCAGTTTAACGATTAGTATGAATCCACAAAATGAAAGAACAAAATAAAATGGAAGGGATGCAAAACTGACAACATCAGAAGGCAGAAGATTATAACGCAAACAAATTGGGGAAGACATCCTAACGACGGGGAAGGGACTTCCAATGACAACACAAGAGTTTATGCAAGAAAACTGGAAAAAAAAGAAGCACATCATAGACATCGAAGGAGAAAGTGAAGCAGAACCCTAAGAAATAAGGCACATTCAGAGACTTAGATAAAATTTAATATGCTATAGACCGTAGAAGTATTATTGTAATCAACTAGCTCCTTAGTTGTTTTTTTAGGATTCTATTTATTTACAAGTACATGCTTGAGAAATTTAACTAACAAAAACATTGTTCATCTGTGGAATGCTCGAGTATTATTTTTCCATCACTACATGATATATCATACTCATAAATCTATCTATATTAACAATGTGTACATATCCACCTTATTTTTCAATTAGATAAAGTCTACATACGAATAACCAATTGAATTTAAAATGGGAATGCGTGTATAACCCAAAACACTAATTTAGATGCAAAGTATCGATATATAAATAAGGTTCACAAAGAAGTGCACAATTTTTAGGCTTTTTAATAGCATAGTTACCACCATGTCATTCTTACTAACCCAAAACCTGGGTTTCCAAACCACAAAACAATCAATGTATACTATCGCATCTCGATGTGCTGCCAGTCTTTTAAATTTTTGCACTTACTATTTGTACAATCCAACACCTACCCCGGCTTGAAAATTTGTTTAAAATAACACAATTCACATCAACTGCAACTAACAGAAACTCTAACAGATTAACTGCCAATTAATATGATAACATACATATCTCATTAAATAACAGTGTATAACACAACTTATTTTAGAAAATGTCACAAATCATTTTTATGGATACAAATCCATTCAATATCAATAACCCCCAAAAGGTGTGTCATTTCGCTTACTTCCAGTTACTCATTGCTTTTAATTCACCAAAATTTTAACACAAATGGTGTTCCAATAATGAAACAACACCAACGCCAACAACGGGCTTAACACATGCATGTGAAAGGACACAAACGGTGTCCGTTCGCATTGATAGTACCTAACCCTTCACAAATAAATATAATAAATCAGCAACGAGAAGGTACGAAAATGAACTGCTTATAATACTCAAATGCCAGCTGATAACTACAACAACTATTACAAAAAAACACCAGCCTATTCTTGCTGAAGTTACGCACCAATCTTATTAAATATCTATAAATTACTCAAACAACGCCAATGCATTAGTAGAATTCAAGTGCACTTGATAAATCAATACTGATAAAATTGACCGATAATCATCACAACTGAAACATACAACTCAAGTTTGAACATCCGACAACAACTAAATCAAACTCTTAACAGGGAGTGTTGCATCATACATCAAAATAAAATTAAGAGAATCAAATTAAGATTACTACGGTCTATACCAACCGTTAGAAACTGAGAAAGTGAATGAAGGAAAATTTTACCGCAACATCACTGGAATAATATTAAACAACAGGTACATAGGAATAGGCAAATGGAGCCACTCAACCCAAATATACGTGTAGTTGTTCAAAATATAATCTATAAAACAAAAAAATTCACATTTTTATAAATTAAAGCAATTATTCATACAACATCACAACTATACTACACAAACTACCTTATGTGACAACAAATTATTTAACCTTATATATATTTCTTCAACGTTGCAGATTACCCGTAGTCGCTGATAGCACAAACAAAACATTAAAAAACATATTTGATCGAGCATAATGGACTTCATATCAGACATTGTTAAGGCGTTTAGAAGGCCTGACGATATCCAAGCCCACATAAGGAATCAACAACAACTTATACCAATTTTAGCAGTCCAAGACAACTTGTTAAAACAGACAATAAAGAGTTTTACATCGTCAGCAATCTTCAGCCAAGGGGTTGTTGAAATACAAAACATGAAAAAATGTCGGGGAAAGTATGCGCGTTGGAAACGTAAGCTTACCTTACTTAAACGACAATACACAGGCCAATCACTGAAGAAAGGCAATCGTGTTTTGTATTACATCAAAATCTTGAGTAAGGTGGTGCAGGAAACAAATATTAGAACGCCAGAAATGCATCAAAAAATACAGAGTAAGTTCATATTTTCCATTTATACATGGCACAACACATAAGCAACTTAACAAAATAGAACTACGAAATACATATGTCAATCACACACGTAAACACTACATCATACAAGGATTGAAAGACATCTCATAGTTAATCACTAATTGCACGCTACGATACATATGGCCTATCTTCAACATTCATTTATATTATGTCTAACTATACACAACTAATTATAGAAGGAACATAAAAAAAGAACATAATATTAGTGACCGCTAATCACATAGACACAATCTATGCTTACAAATCAAATACAACATGTATTATACTGAGTAACAAGTACTTACAAAACATCTTCTTAGGAGGACACTGTAACCAATACAATGACTCAGTTATGAATGAATGTGCAGACGTCTTACATGTAAGTCATCCATAGACAAGTAGAAAACAAGCAACTCACAACATTTTAGGCACATCTAACACTCAGGATAAAACAAACATAATTACGTATACACATAACCCTATATTGGGTATAAAACTTCATTATTAAGGCATTCAATACTTTAATTGTCTCACAACAGACTTATATGACAGTTGCATACAAGACAAGATTGAATTTGGTCCCTCCAACATACGCCTGTTGGGCACCGAACCTGGAAAATTTGGGAAGAACTTTAGGAAAAATACGCCTGTTGCGCAACTGAATCTCCATGTTTGCATTTACATCAATAGTAGGTCGAGTGGACAGATCAATCAATCGGACAAAGGGTCCTTATGTATTCAGAATAAGTGGGAAAACTTATCACCACATAGGCTCACTATTACTAGAAATTGGGAAAACCCACAATTTACACAACTATATTTATATGATATCGATAATGAGATATAGAGAATAAAATCAACAGTGGGATGCATGAAGAAGTTGAAACTGAAATTGTACAAGGGATATCTGAAATTCTAGACGAGCATAATGTTTCGGTCAAATCATTACTTATGGCAAAGGATATATACAGAGAGTAACCACAAGCACAGTTCCATATGCGCATCCTATCAGAAAGGAGCCAAGATGGACGACAATACAATAGGCCAACGGCTTCTGAAGTTGCTGGATTAATCGTAGGGGACCTTACAAATGCAAACTTCAAACGAGATGTCATCGTGGAAAATCGAAAGAATGGACTGCAAAGGATCACAGATTTACATCCAAGTTTCATGTTAATGAATTACTCCTTAATACATCCATACGGTGAAGATGGATATAGGCTTGGAATACATTTAGTTTCGGACATTAAAAAACATACACAAGAACAAACTTGACAATGAGACAATTTTATGGATACCACATACAACAACGCCTTAGTTAGGGTCACACTATACTCCAAGCTAGAAGAATATCATTTTTGGCGGTGCGGAATTCATCATAAGATAAATAGTTAAGATATATATATTTCTTCTAATAATTATTTTAATCTAATTATTTCTTCAAGGTTGTTTATTATATATTCTATATATAATATATCTTGGGTTCTTTGATACATATTTAAATTCTCTTGTATTAATTGTTCTAATAATCTTATATTTTCCATAGCTTCTATCCAATATTCTAAATAGTCATAGTTTATTTTAATCTGAATCTATTTCTAAATCGTATATATCTATTCTTTCTATTTCTAATTCTTGTAAATTTATTTCATACCATTCTTGATTTAATATATCTTCTAAATCATATTCAAATATCTTTTCCTATATAAATTATTTTATGTCATCAATTTCTATATCTTTAAGTATATATAAAATCAAAGTTTTATAGCTTCTTATTTCATCGTACATTGTAAACATGTTTATTTTTATCATGCAGGTTTTTCTTCAGTTAGTCCTCCCTATCATATCATAATCTAATTAAATCAATATTAGTTTATTATAAACTAGAGTATCGTTATCATGTTTTCCGGTCACTACTAGCATCGTACTTTAGCGGATAATTACTGCTTATCAGCGCCTCAACCTTGTGTACTCCCCTAACAGCATCCCTCGCCTACCGGTTTCCACTGTGGGATGGCATAGTCTAGCAGTTTTCTCCCTGTTTCCCATTTATAGCAAACTTGAATTCATAATTCAAATATTTCTAGAGTATAATAACTAATATAAATTTAATCAATCATATATATGATATTCAGGAATATATGAAATTAGTTCTGCATATCTAATAAACAATATACCTTTGTCTCTTGATTTGTCATGCTATCTGAGATATCTTATTGTATTTCCGAATTTTCCATATGTTTTTCTTAGTTTGTATCTTTGAGAGAGCTTGATATTTTGAGAGAGGGTTTATTAACATGAACTTTAGTTTGGCATTGTCTGCCTTTCATTTACAATTTGGTAATCTATATATACTAAATCCTAAGTCTGCACATAAGTGCGTCTACTGTACACTTTACGAGTTTTGAACAAAACTTTACAAATGGCCGGCTATACACATTGGCCTTTCAAAAAAGCAAAAGTTATTTACTGTACAAAGGAATCTTATCTCTTTCTTTTTACATTTTTTATCTCTTTGTCTGCCATCTTTTCTATCTTTATCTCTCTTTTTCTTTTGTCACTTTTTTTTTGTCTGTCATATCTCTTTTTCTTTTCTTCATCCTTATCTTATCTTGCATCTTTATCTCCTTGTCCTTATTCCAAATCATCTGGTAGTATGTTATCTTATCAATTGCATTTGGAGCATCTGTGATCTGGATATTTATGTCCAATAAGTTTGCAATATCTGGTCAATAATTTTTCTGAAATAAATTCCTTTTTCAATGCTCTTGTCGTAGGTTGTTCTTCTGGTTTTAATAGTGACAAAATCCGTCGCTGGACTTCATTCATATTTGCTCTTCTTAACTCTCTAGAGTTTGAATATATCATAATTTGATCTCTAGCGTAATAACTCCACATAGCGTTTCCATTTAAATAGTTGTGTGCTAACTCCTGTATAATAGTTGATATACCAATTATTCTTTTATTGGCATAAAAATTTGGTATTTCTATTTTTGGTATTTCATTTTGATGTCCAATATCTTCAGGTATGATCATTTTTTTTGTTAATCATATCTTGATAACTTGAATCGGTGACTTAATTTCTTCATACAATATCTCTGCTGGTGCTGTATAAAACTTGATATAAAATAAGTTTCCTCTTGTAACTCTTTTGTATGTGATAAATGTTTTGTATAACTCTTGTATTCCAGTAATTTCTTCTCCGTCGTATGTATATACTGTACTTAGTAGTCCATAATTGTAACATGTTTTTACTAAGTTTGAACTAGTTTTAGGTTGTGCAATCAATATATTAAATCCTTGTATTTTTGGGTTATATAATCTTCGTTTGGGTTTTTGATTTGTGTCGATCTGGGGTTTAAATTTAAATATGTTTGGATCTTATATATGTTTTTAATGTATGATTGTGTGATATAATTGTATCTTTTTTTATCACTTTGTATACTAACTGCGTATGTAGAAGTTTGTGGTTCTGTGAGTATATGTTTTGTGTGTTTTGGGTAAATGGATTTATAAATAACTGGTTTAAGTTTGTATTTCGCGATTTCTCACTAACTTTCCTGCTTGTACCTGCAGCTGTATTTAAACAAAAGTTATGGGTTTTAGGGAGTTTCCCATCGTCTCCTTTTATCTCTAGAATTTTTGTCGTCTTCCGATCGACGTAGCTCCGCATTTTTATAGTCATGATGCTGACTTATATTAGCTTTAGACTTCAGGTTATCTTCATTAGTCTTTAGCTTTTGTATCTCATTGTCCATTCTGTCCACTTTGGTACAAAGTGTAGTAATGACTTTGAGTAGCTCTTCGATTGTATCTTCATTTTTGTTCTCAGTCTGAGTAGCTTTGTCTTGATAAGTAGTCTGCAACACCATTCTTCTTAGTCTTTATTACTTCAATTGTAAATGTAAAGTTTAATATATTCAATATCAATCTTCTAATTTCTTTTGTTGTTACTGAATCTTGTATTTTTCTAGTTAACCACCATTTTACTTGTGTATAATCTAATCTTACAATAAATTTGTTATACACAATATATGGCTCAAATGCTAATAAACATTTATATACAAAAAATAATTCTTTCCTATTTATTTCCCATTTTATTTCCATATTTGTATATGTGCGTGAATAATATCTACAGTGATATTCTATATTACTATTATCATATTTATATTTCAATACTCCTCCATAACTCTTTTCACTTGCATCAGTTTCTACCATATAAATAAATTTTTTTATCTTTATCCGGAAATATAATTTCGGTAATGTTTTACATAATAATTTTATCTTTTGTATTTATGTTTGATCTCTATTATCAAAATGGTATTCTATGTCTTTCTTTAGTTTATGTTGTAATTGTTTTAAGTTTTCTGCTAATGTTGGTATATATTCCCTTACTTGGTTAACTAATCCTAAAAAGGATTGTAATTTCTTTTTTGTATCTAATTGTTCATTTGAGGTTATTATCTTTTGTACTATATGCGTTTGCATTTTTATTCCATTTTTATCTATTTATATTCCTAGGAATTCTATTTGTTTTTTCATTATTTCTGCTTTCTTTTTACTTAAACTTATTCCTGAGTGTTGTATTATATGTATAAATTTTTCTAATAATCTTATGTGTTCATCTTGTGTTTTAGAATATAATAATATATCATCAATATATATTACACAATTTTCTAGTTGTTTAAAATAGTTATCCATAAAATGTTGAAATCTGCCTGGTGCATTTTTATATCCAAATGGTAATACATTCCATTCATAAAATCCTTGTGGTACTGTGAATGTTGTAAGTTTTTTAGATTCTTCTTCTAATTTCAAATGATAAAATCTTGATGTACAATCAAATTTACCAAAGTAATATCCTTGTGTTTGTCTAATCTTTAATATTTTATTTGGTATTGGATAATTATATGTTTTAGTTTTTACATTTAAATTTCTATAATCAATTATCATTCTACTTTTTCCTCTTTTTTGTTCACTATATTTATTAACAATAAATGCCGGACTTGTATGTTTAATATTACTTTATTGTATATATCCATTTTTAGTAATTCATTTATATGTATTTTAAATTCATTTAAATCATTAAAATTATATTTTAATGGTTTTTGTTGTTATTATACTATTTTCATCAATCAGTTCAATTATTATACTACTAATTCTCCTGTAATGTAGTTTTCGTCTTGTCCTATATTTATTAGTATTAAATATTTTCTTTGCTCCATTATTCCTGTTATATAATAATGGTGTGGTTTTATTTCTTCTTCTATTGTTCCTTGTGAACTTATATTTATTCTCTTGGAACTATTTGAAGTACTCATTTTTGATGATATTTGTGGTATATAATTACTATTTATTCTTTTTGATGTGCTTAGTCTTTCTTGTACTATTCCTAATTCTCCTTCTATATCAATTTCATTATAACTATAGTCATTATTATCTATAACCATAACTATTTTTTTAAAGGTGTAACGACCTGTTTAGTCGTTTTGAGCAGCAGATTTTGTTTCTGGAAAAATTGGCTGAAACAACGGAACCCACGATGGACCGTCACAGGCACAACGGTCCGTCACAGATGTCTCGTTTCAATATACTTAGGAATTCTGAAATTAGGTATTGAAAATCGACTCTCTGAACTTCGTAACGGACTTGCAGGACGGACCGTCACAGGTGTGA